AAAAAGACGAAATTACTATGTTACCTTTATTGACAATTCCATTAAAAAGGTGTGGATTTATTTTCTTAACAATAAATATGAGTAGAAAGGTTATCAGAAAAAGGGATGTAACATTTAGTGACAATATACTTTGTAAAGACTAAAGACAAACTTGCAACAAATCTCAAAAGGAAGAGGAAAATACATAGGAAAGATCAAGTTTTGTTTAAGGGGGGTTACAAAGAATGACATTGCAAGACCTATATATACTTTAGAGGTACTAGAAAGCTTATAAAGAAGTGGTAGCTTTGAAGTGAGTATGATTTGTGAATCTAGTAGGAGCATTTGAGGATATTCTTTATCAATAAACTACTTGTGAAGCAGATGAAGTAGTTTCAGAAAGCCTAACTGTTAGAAGATCCAATGAAGAAGCCAGAACTCCAGCTAGATGCTCTCCATTAACAAACCACTTATTCATGACCAAAAATGGAGAAACATAGTGAGTCTTATCCAAAAGTTGTAAGAATAAAATATTACATACAATGGAAGAAAGCCATATGGTCAATTTTTTATTATTATTATTATTATTATTATTATTATTATTATTATTACTATTATTATTATTATTATTATTATTATTTTAAAACGCAACCCGCACATACTCTAAAACTATTCCTAAATTCCACCGCTATCCCATATGGGAATTAAAACCTCATCATTATGGAGGTTAGGCATCTCATCATACCGCTAGGCTAAAGGCATGTTGGTTGTTTTGTGGTCAAGTTACCGCTAGGTAAAAAATCATTGCATACCAAGGGGGTGTCCAAGGTTACTAGTCGAACAAAGCCTAAGGCCGTGGTGCTGTACACTGGAGCTTGATGTATTAGTTCATAATTTGTTACCCATTTATATGGAAGCAACTTGAGTACCTTTTCTTTGGATAAATGTCTTGGAACATACGTGTAAGTTGGTGTTGCATTTGAGTCAACATCAAGAAACAAGATAGCTCTTGAATTTTGTTCTCATGGAAGTATAATGCCCAAGGAATGGTTATGTACTCAACATGCCCTCTGGTAATGGAATGTTGTCCCAAATGTTTTGACTTGGGGAACCTTGTGATATTGAACCGTGCTTAGATGATTTTCACAATAAATTTTACATTGTAGTAAATCTCTCGTCCATCTTGCTAGAAAAATCGAACATGGTCGTCTTCACTTTCCTACTATTATGTCCACACTTTTTTAGTTTGACTACTTTCTTAGTCACCATTGGTTCTCAATACCAATTTGATACGAGAGTGGAGAATAAGAATGTCTGACATGCTTTGATATTTGACACACTTCACAGCTGTAATCATTTTGATTTTTTTATTCACTAAATGAGGAAACAATTTCTTAGTAATGAACATTTGGATGACCCAACTTATGATGCCATAACATCACATTATTTTGACTAAATACATGAAACAATGATGTAATTGGATGTTTTCATGTCTTCACAACTTCAATGTGGTAGAGCTCATCACAAACTTTAACACTGCAATCATCTTCCCTAAACTTAAGTCCTAAAACACACATACATATGGGGTTACGATAGTAATGCAGTTTAGATCCTTCCTCAGCTTAATAGGGGCCACCAAATTGAAATCAATAATTTTTTAGATATGACAATTGTACTAATACCTCCTACTTTTGCGTCTTCTCCACTAGCAACATGTATGGTTCTTCTATTAGGTACCGGTTGGAATTCAGTAAATACACTTTGTTCCTCGGTCATATGATCAGTAGCACCACAATCAACCACCCAAGATTTTTCTCCACCTGACAAGTGCACTTGTTAAGAATTCAGATGAGACCCCACCTTGTTGGGAAACAACTATGACCTCTGTCTTCATGGGGTGTGATTTGCAACGTCTTCTTAAGAGCTTTAGTTTGATTCTTGCTAAAGACCTGGTTGTCACTAGTTGCTACGTTTTCACAAGCATTAGGTTTTAATTCAGATGGTTTCCCATGAATTTTTTAGCAGGTTTCGTTGGTGTGACCATGTCGTTTATAATGATCACATAAGGGCCGATCATTCCTTTTTTGAGACCTTTCAGGAGTCACTGAAGATTTCATATTAGATGAAACACGTGTTGCAAGAGCTAAGATAACATTATGATGTTGCTAGCATTTCCTAACCTAACCCTTCATTGACTTTCTTTTTCTCTGATTTCCGAGAACACTTCTCTGAGTCTGGACATAAGTGTAACATCCATAAAATCCAAGCCAAACCTTTTTTTTTTTTTTTTTTAATTTTTAAATTTTTTTTTTAATTTTTAATAATGTTACATTCAAATAAATCATTTGTTCAAAAACCATTATTCAGAAATCAGAGTTATAATGAAGACAACACATAATCTCAAATCATAAAGTTGCGGATGTATGTGTATAGTCCCGCCTTCACAAACCAGATGAGTACTTGCAAAAATATTTAATCCACAACCGTAAGAACAAAGCTTAGCGAGTTCCCAAAATATCTCATACATCACAACATATAACAATAGCCCTAGAACTATAAAAAATTCCACATATCACATACAACACAAAATATAACATCTATGGGTTCTCAGTAACCCTGGGAACTATCAGCAGTCACAGTGGACTAAGAGCATGCCATGTGGATTAACAACACACCTCATAGGTTATCAGCAACCTTGCGGACTACCAGCAGTCCCGTGGAACAATCCAGGAGTTATCAGCAACTCAATTCATATCCAACAATAATCAACAGATAAGATCCAACTGGTCAACAAGTATATACTATCACACATGCAAGTATAGTGAGATGACTCACCTTGCAAGTAGCAGCTAAATTCTACAGCTCTCACTCAGCAAAGACTGATCCTACATGACACCTAACAACAATAAAGATTACCCTCTCAGTTTGAAATCCAAAACCCTTAGTTTGACCAAAAATCAACCATGGTCATAAAGTCAATATCAACCAATGGTTATGTCGTGACCATCCATAGGGCACGTCCTGACTGGAAATGGCAATATAGTCGCGAATACCACATCTCACGATGTGACCAGCTATTGCTCACGTCGTGAGATCTGCTATGGCCAACATTGAGCATTAAGCTCTTAGTCCTTTAAGCCATTCCTTAAGACTTTCCAGAGGGTCTCCCCCAACCCTAAGGACCATAAAAATCGAAGCTTTACATTCATGCATCTCTAATGCATGGCTTGAACACCAATTAGGTCATTATAAGGGCAAATGAGATTAAGACTCATGCTTGGAGTCTAAATAAATACCAAAACTCATATCTGAACTCATTCTACAAGGAAATGCCTCAATGACCCATAAAGTTGCTACTTTATGGTTCCCATGCATGCTATCAAACTCATCCGTAAAAAGGAAAGCATAAACCTTAGATCTAGCATGCATTAGAGATAAAGGTAGAAGGTTTATGATATATAAGGGTCCAAAAGCACTGCAAGATGATGAGGCAGGAGCTTAATTGCCAAAAGGATGCACCCAAGGAGTCTTCTTCTTCAAAGAGCCAAAAATCACTAAATGAGCACCAAAAACCACCATGAAGAACTAGGGTTAGCATTTCTGAGGTTTAGAGAGATGGAGGCTTAGAAGTGAACCCTAAAACCGAGTTTAGGGTGCTTAAATACAAAGCAAACCCTAAAAGATCATTTGCTTGGGCTGCAGCCCTCCTCACGTCGTGACCAGCTAGTTATCATGTAACATTGTGACCCATGGCTTTTCCCAAAACCATGCCTTAAACTTCTGAATGCCCTACACTGACAGAAAACAGGTGTTACAAGAAGTTTAGTACCGAAGATTATATGTTGATGATTCAATCAACGAGTTATTCATGAGCATTCTAATATCATACATTAATGTGATTATAAATCAGCATATAGCAAAACCCTGCTACGAATACCATAGTGTTGAATCATTCAACACAAACTTAAATCATGATCATTGTTTTATCATGCCATACATATGTCGTTAAGGATCATATCAGTTAGATGACCTATAGAACTTGTAGGGAGATTGGATTAGTTATCACGCTTGATGAAGTCATTATGTTGATGATTAATAATCCCACCCCCTTTTAAAAGTTGGAACAAATCTTCATGATATGAACCCAATCCAATACTAGGCCCGTATCAAGCCATAAACTCAAGTGTAGAACTCACTCCCAAAACCAACTTGTAGGAGGAGAGGACACCTAGACTTAAAAGTCACCAACTTAATTTACTTTTGGCCGATGTATGATGGTAACACTCTACTTGTTTTGTCTAACCACTATTTGCTTTTTTCAAAAATATTGCCACATTATATTTATTTTCCATTTCCTAGTTAAAAGAAATAAAAAATGATTTTTTGAAGTAAGAAGTGCTTTATTGATATCGTTAATTTATTCAAGCCAATTGCCTACACATATTGTATATTCATTTCCTACTTGAAACGCATATGAATTATAATCAATTCATAAAGTATACTAATTTCCATAGAAAAATATTTATCATTTATACATGTTCCAGGCAACGTCCGAAAGTTATTATTGCTATAACACACAAAATTCTATGCCACGAGTTGTAGTGGTCTTATAGCTAGAGATGGTGCAAATTCTTCTCTATATTTGAATGTTTAGCAAAGTGGTCTTCTTTTCTAGAACAGATGGAGTATATAATAATAGTAACATAAGTCTTCAATCACCTAGTGGAACAAATCCTTGTTTTATCTATAAGCATGCCTCTAATACTGTTTGCTCTAAAATATAAAATTTATTCCATACAATAAAAAAGAAAAAAAAATGATAAAAGAGGAATAATTAAATAATTTCATGTTTTCATATCTTTACATTTTGTGTAATGTGTGCAACCTCTAAATTAGTTTTCTACTTTTTCGTACTACAGTTTCACGACGCTATAGTAGCGACTCAAGTCAAAGTTGGCATCCTTTTGGTGTAACTAACATTAAAGTTCACTTTCTTAGATGTGGCATCTGAACACACAAACATGCAACTAAGAACAAGCTGTGCAGATGGTTATAACAGGATTAGTGTTTCAAGCACTCCTAGTTGTTCAAATCCTACTTCTGGACCTGATGACATAGAATCATTAGGAGATGTTTACCTTTGGGGAAAAGTCTGTTGTGATGGAACTTGTAACAATCAATCTGCAAATGGTAAAAATGATGTCTTAACTCCTAAACCATTGGAGTCAAATGTAGTCATAGACGTACAAAAAATTGCTTGTGGTGTTCAACACATTTCACTTCTAACAAAACAAGGTGAGATTTTCACTTGTGGAGAGGAATCCGGAGGTAGGCTTGGTCATGGAACAGACCGACATCATGGTCGCCCTCGCCTTGTAGAATTCCTTTCGGTCTCCAACATTGACTCGATTGCATGTGGTGAGTTTCACACATGCGCTATATCTAACTCTGGGGATTTATACACGTGGGGAGATGGGTCCCACAATGCTGGACTTCTTGGTCATGGAACTGATGTCAGCCACTGGATTCCAAAACGAGTTTCTGGACCTTTAGAAGGAACTCAAGTCACATCGGTTGCTTGTGGAAATTTTCATTCAGCCTTATCAACCATCGATGGAAAGCTATTCACATTTGGAGATGGAACTTTTGGTGCTTTGGGACATGGAGATCGCGAGAGTGTACATTTCCCAAAAGAGGTTGCATCTTTAAGTGGACTCAAGACTATAAAAGTTGCATGTGGTGTATGGCATACTGCGGCAATTGTAGAGATTATAAACAATCAAACCGGACACTCTACGTCTAAAAAGCTATTCACATGGGGTGATGGTGATAAATATCGATTAGGTCACGAAAGCAAAGAATCTTATACAGAACCAACATGTATAGCAGCTTTAATTGATTATAACTTCCATCAATTAGCATGTGGACATACTATGACTGTAGGCCTTACAACATCCGGTCATGTCTTCACTATGGGTAGTCCTGCGCATGGTCAACTCGGTAACCCACAAGCTAATGGAAAATCTCCTTCCATGGTGCAAGATAAATTAGTAGGCGAATTTGTTGAAGAAATCGCATGTGGAGCATACCATGTTGCTGTGTTGACATCAAGAAGTGAAGTGTTCACATGGGGAAAAGGTGAAAATGGAAGACTAGGACATGGGGACATTGATGATCGAAACACACCAACTTTGGTTGAATCGTTTAAAGATAGGATTGTGAAAAGTGTGTCGTGTGGTGCGACTTATACTGCGAGTATTTGCGTTCATAAGTGGGCTGTATCTGGAGCAGATCAATCAGTTTGTTCTGGATGTAGACAAGCATTTGGTTTTACAAGAATGAGACGTAATTGTTTCAATTGTGGGCTTGTGTATTGTCATGGTTGTAGCTCCCGAAAGGCTTTGAGAGCAGCATTGGCTCCAATTCCAGGAAAGCCTCATCGTGTTTGTGATTCTTGTTATGCAAAGCTTGCAAAAGCCGCTGAATGTGATAATAATAATAGTAGTAATAATAATAATGTCGCTAATTTCAACAAGAGGCTTAGTACTCGAAACCACATGGATGGGAGTAGGTTGAGGACTTCAAGGGTTCTGATTTCCCCCACTATGGAACCGGTTAAATACCATGAAGTGAAATCAGGGAAATATGGATCGAAATCTGATTCTTATTCGATTGTAAGAACTTCACAAGTTCCAGCGTTTCAGAGTTTAAAGGATGTTGCATTTCCGAGTTCACTCAGTGCTCATCAGAATGCTTTGAGATCTGGTTCACAGTTTCCACCACGTCCAAGAAGATCTAATTCTCCACAATCTGGTGCTCCTATGTTCTCGAGGGGTGTGATTGATGGTTTTAAGAAGTCAAATGATGTTTTGAGCCAAGAAGTGTCGAAATTGCAAAACCATGTACTGGATCTTCTTTATCTAACATTTTCTTATGTGTGTTTGCATGCATAATTGAATTAAATTATATTGAGATTTATGCATGGTAGGTGAGACATTTGAAGCATAAAAGTGAAAAGCAAGATGCAGATATTAGAAAGTTGCGAAATGATACTAAACACGCTGAGTCATTAACTGCAGCAAAAGCTGCCAAACGCACCATTGCTGTGGATGTCTTCAAATGTATCACAACTCAGGTACTGTAAATATCATATCTACTTCCAATTTTCTGCACCATATAAACTACTGAATTAAGAGATTGATCTATTAAATGCATATAATATACTGTTTAAAAGTTTTAAAGAAACCATATAGAGTTCGAAGACAAATAGTACTGAATTTTGATAATCAACAAAGATGAACATTTGTGATAATGAGCTTGTAATTAACTATTTTACTGTATTCTATCAGTTAAACGAATTGACAGAAAAACTGCCACCTGAAATCTCCGACGATGAAACCTTCAAAGCGTTGACAGATAAAGTCAATAACTACATCAAAACCCACGGAAATGATACATCTTTCTCAAGTTGTTCTTGCTCGCAATCAGATCAGCCTGAAGCAAGTCGTACTACCAGTAAAGTCACAAGAAAAAAATATCATAAAATCGATGAAAACGAAGATCTTGAGGAGCCAAATAAATCGACACAGAATGTTGATGGATCCCAAGATACATCACAAAATGCTGACATTCCTCCACAAGAAAACGATGAAGCTTCAACTAGTAATAACACAGGAAGTCAGAAAAGCATAGAAGGTAGTTCAAGAGTACATAAGCATGTAAAGAGTGAGGGAGTCAATGAAGTTATTGAACAATTTGAATCTGGTGTTTATGTAACCCTACTCCAACTTCCAGATGGTACGAAAATATTCAAGCGGGTTAGATTCAGGTACTTGAACAGAAAGATCCAGTCAGTTGTACGCATATATAAACAGAGGATCTAACCTAATCCATAATATGAACTTAATCGAAATTTTCTCCAATATTTGTGTAGTAAAAGGAGGTTTGCAGAGCAGCAGGCAGTAGAATGGTGGAAAGAAAACAAGGTCAGGCTGCTTAAAAGGTATAGTCCGGCGAAGCCACGCAACACTTCAAGTGCACCGCCACCTCCGACGGAAAATAATGAGGAACCACCACCATCTACTTAACTCGGTTTGGTTTCTGTAAGGGACTTGATAATTATGTGAAACTTTGATCTTTACTGTGAATGCGAGATCTCAAAAGAGACTAGACAAATTTGTTCTTTGAACAGACTAGTGATTTACTTTTTTTGATATGTTGGTTGTAAAGATAGACTTTGATAGGATTTAAATGATGTAATTAAATCAAAATATTGAAAATATAAACCAAATAAGTTGTTTGTTACAAATTGGAATAAAAGAGAAGAGAACCAGTGAAGAGGCCAAATGGTTCTCCTTGCCTTAATATCAAAAAGGTACTCCAAAGAGAAAAACCCCCTGCCCAAGCTATTGTCGATGACTAAAATATGCAAAATACTCAATGAATAGCCACTATTCCTATGACAAGAATTATTTGTAGTTAGTTAAGGAGGACTTTATAATGAGATGTAAAACATAAACCGAAAAATATTCCATTTTGGTCCTTGTCTCTATATTTATGTACTAGGTGTAAAATCCGTATATTATACGGGTTGATTAAATAAAAAATTAAATATTAAAATATTAGCGTTAAGTATTTTTTAAATAAAATTTTCAAATAATAAATAAAGAAACCTATTAATTATAAGTATTATCACATTTATCATATTTAATATTTTACATATATAAATATAAAAGTATTATGTGACTTTTTAATATAAAAATTGAAAAAACCAACAATTGACATATGAATATTATTTGTTTAAAAAATATAATAAAATGACAAGTGTCAAAATTCATGAGAATTTAACATGTAGCAAAATGAATTTTCATTTATTATAGTTGAAGTCTCACTCTATATCAATATTACCTCTATCAAGATTGCCGAATTAAAGCACAGGCTTCTCCTCAAGCTGAAAGTTAGGTACCAAGTTTATGTTTGCTAGGTGTCAGCACATGTTGCTTCTTTGATTAGACCTTCATGTCATGGAATTAGCCATTGTTTCATTTTTCCTACATTATGGGTGCTTTTGTCATTTTGACAAAAATAATTATCTAGCTAGTTCAACTTCGTTAGAGTGGAAAGAACATGCTTCCATTGAGTCTACTACCATTATAGCTGCAGTATTGACCAAGGTCTCTACATTAGGCTCATCGATTTCCGAGTCTTCATTGTTTATAGGTATTAGGCTATCGGGTATGGGCACCATTTCACATGTAGAAGGTGATGTGGAGGGTGGGTTTCCACAGGTCAACACTGCCCCAAGTTTTAGTGGTTCTCTTGTGGAGTGGGGGTTTTCACCAACCTTCACGGATGGCTTCTTTCTCTCTCTCTCTCTCTCTCCACCTTTTTTTTCTTTTTCTCTATCTTTTTCACTAGTGAACATCATTTCCACAACCTTATGAAATGGTTGTGGAATGATTAGATGATGATGTGACTTGCTTTTCAGTCATGAGGATACCAGGTAGCCTTACCGACTTTTTAACACCTTTTGACCTTTGTATTTCATGTTGCATTTTCAAACGCTCACAATGTGTTTCTTGCATGTAGTCACTATTGCTTCCATAATCAGAAGTTGTTCCATAAAGTTCCAAATTATTCTTCTTTTCCTTACCGATTGACATCTTCCCCACCCTTTACTTATAAACACCTGACTCTTTGAAGTTCTTTTTGAATTGTAAGTTGTACTTTTGCACTATAATATCATCCTTACACTCTACATGTTATACTTATTTTCTTTATATTCTTTTCATCAGATGCATTTATCTCGTTGTCATCTTCACTATCTGCATCTTCGAGATTGGTAAAATTGGTGTTGACCAAGAAGAACTCGTGTTGACTTCCTCGTGTTTTGGTTTGACCATGGAATCGGGATTTTTTTCACTCGTGTTATAAGGAATAGTCGGATAAGTGAGTATACCAAGAAGGTTGAGTTGACATTTGTGGTGTTTATGTCGGATAAATCTTGAAGAACAGTGAGTATGCCAAGAAGAATGAGTTGATATTTGCTCAAATTAAGCACTTTTCAGCAAGAATTCGGATTCTTATGTACTGATGCTAAAGTAGTCATACCAGCTTGCATGATCGAATTTTGTCAAAGTTTAAACTTATGAACACCACAAATCTAAGAAGCATTAGTCTCGATTTTGATGGCATTATCCGATGTCAGCAAACAACATGATAAATCAAGCGTCACTAATTATTGATTCTCATTATTCCATGAATCCGTCAACTCTATTGCCCTCTCAGTTCCAATACTTATATCTCTGATAATCAATTCAAACAAGCATGATGTTACTTATATATATATCTGATAATCAATTCAAACAAGCATGATGTTCTAACAAGCTTACAAAGGCTATCCACTACATTATTGTTTAGCTTTAATTTTATGCCATTTAAATTTAGCTAAGAGGGGCTATTTAGAATGGCAAGTTTATCCAACAGAATTACTATGGCATTTCCAGATGTGGAGGTATTGTATCTTATAAATAGTTCTAAAAGAATTAAACTGGAAACAAGGGAATCAGTAACCTTTTGAGTTGTTTGTCATGTGGTATAACGACGATGTATATTTAAGATGTAAATTGCCTAACAATTATGTAAGATTGTAGAAAGGTAAGAAACACATCCACCACTTAAAAGATTCCCAAATATATAATATATTAAGTAATTCTAGGACATACAATAGCATATGGCATTCTCAAATATGGAATAGGGTAGTTGGACCCTAGCGATTGCAGGGCAAATCCAAAACCAAACCACCATACTTTAAGTTTGATGACATAAAGAATTTTTTAGTTTCTCTGGTTTGAGCAAGCACTTAGGTAGCCAACATGTATCATCATAATGAATTTTTTTCTATTCAGATCTATTTTTGGAAGCATCTTGGAACTAGTGTGAAGTAATCTGAGCGAAGAGTAAGATTCTCAATGCCCTTTCACTCCTTCAGCACACTTGATTTTATGGCGGAATTGTAACATCCCAAAAATATTAGTAAAATTTCATTTTCAAACTACCAAAATGAGATAATCATCTGTTCAAACGCCAACAATGTTTAAATGTATTCTAAATATCAGAGTAAACCAAAACATATAATACGGAAATAAACTCCAGGGGATGTATTATGATCACATCGAGTCCTTCCCTTTGGAACCAGAAGTACCTGAAATGTTTAAACCGCAAAACTATAAGTACAAAGTTTAATGAGTTCCCCAAAATACCGCATACCATATATATCAGTGGGCCCAACCCTAGGGTGCATTTAAACCCTATGTGAATGTTATGATTCAACCATAGTCTTACAATCACTTGAACTAGGAGCCATCTATTAAGAAAAAGAAACATGATTAGTTTGAAAAAGAAATCCTTTTAAGGTAATTACCAAATATAAATTATTTATTAAAAGGCTAGGATCCATATGTGGATTCACGACGTAAAGTGGATTAGCTGAAAATTACACAATGAAGTTATTTAGGTGGAATCTCAATCTATAGAGATTCTTAGAACACGAGATTTATTGAGTTATCTCAATAGCATGTTAATAATCTCTTCTAATGCTCATTTAACATTCACGATTGGATTAGCCGAGGATCATGAATCAAAATGGTGAATCGACCATGTTAAGTTACAATGATATTTGGCTCAAGTAACGCTTAAGAATTGCAATTATCATATACATTTCTTCAACTATATTCTTGTTTGACGTGACGGTAAATCACACACGCATAGCCAAAAAGAATATACAACAAGACGTAGTTTCGATGGGAAGCATAAGATTCACATTCTTATAAAACGAGATTTTGTTTTATTACTTATTAAGTTAATATTTTTAACGTTGCACTATTGTCCTATCAAACCCTTTCGTTAACTCTACTTAGGATGCAAGAAGTCAATGAGGGCGGTGAGCACTAAATGCTACTTAAAATTCAACATCATTAAGAGTCGAAGAGACCGTCTAGAACCTTCCTTATAACATTAAAGTAGGTGAGTGTAACATCCCAAAATTTCAAGGTAAAAATTTCATTTTTAATTTAACTAAAACACTATTGTAACTTTGTTCACACATTGAAAAGAATTTTAAATAAAACATTTATCAGAGTTTATTCCCAGAAATCACATATTGCAGAAAACATAGGTGTATGCATTGCGATCGTCCCAAGCTCAATTATTTGAAAACTGGAGGTCCTGAAACCAAAACTGAAAACTATAAGCACGAAGCTTAGTGAGTTACCTAAATACCATATACCACACAATAAAACATACTGTCTAGCATATCCGGGTGATGGCCTAACCCTTCGGTCTCTCTCGACCGGATACTACATACATAACCGTGAGCCATATATATATCATTCATATATCATAATCAAATAAGATGTTATGTGCCGATACATAGTCTTGCTATTATGCTATAGGCTGCCACGTGGTCTTTCTTGCCAAGCCAGGGGCTACCCCCAGGGTCTTACAGACAAGTTCCAAGAGCCACCTCCTGGTCTTACATGCAAGCATCACAAAGACATCTAACATACATACCAGTCTACTTAGCAAATTAACATACAATGTGCCAGGATCCACCTCTTGGTCTTTCGTACATAATGCCTAGGGCTAACCCCCGGGTCTTCCTATAGTACATAATAACATACAATGTTCCAGGAGCCGCCTCCTGGTCTTTCATACATAATGCCTAGGGCTAACCATCGAGTCTTCCAACAGTACATAAATCAAATGGGCTGGCATTGGTGCCTTCGACCCATACAAATAGTGAGGAGACTCACCTCACACTGTTGATGTTGGATTAGTGTCTAAGTCCATAACTATTTTGGTATGTACTTGACCCGATGGTGCATGGTCCTTTTAGGTTGCCTTCACCAAAGCAACTTGATTGGAGAAATAAATAAAGAAAGAGAGGTTATTATGATTTATTAATATGTTATAAGAATAATATATTAAAGGAGAAATCATATTTGCTTAATTAATATTGGTCAATAATTAATTAGGAATTAATTTTGTGATCAAGTGTAATTAATTAAACTAGAGGGGCTGAATTGTAATTATGTGATAGTTACAGAATATGGTAATGGTTATCCTAAATATGGGTTGAACGAATTCAAGGAGATAAGGATCCTTGAAATCGTCCAAAGGATAAAGGATAAGGGTTTTCAAGGCTTATCTTATGGTTGCTTTGTGGATAAGCAACTAGATAAGGATAATGACTGAAACCCTATCTCTACACCTATATAAAGACCCTAAGGCCTTAGAATTCGTGTACTTGTTCCCAAGGAGTC